GAAATAAACATTTAAAATAATATAATAATTAAATTTTTTTTATTAAATAAAATTATACAACAAAAATTATATAAGAAAAATTAATTATCTTTATATACATTGCTAAAATTTTCATTTCAATTCATATTTAAAAAGTTAAATAAGAGAGTTAAAGTTGAATGGAGAAGAGAATTCAGTAATTTTATTGATGGTTTATTTATAATAGTTGAGGAGAGATACCTAAGAGTTACATGAGTATTTTGGATATAGTTATTATCACTATAAAAAAATATTAAGATCATCAAAATTTTAGTTTTCATTCTTAAGCAGTGTTTGAAGGTATCAATTTATTAACTGATTTTAATTTGTTAATTAATATATATTAATAGTTCTATTAGTGATTGATAAATACTCATAATTATTACTTATTTTAATCAATCAAATTAAGTAAAATTAATATTTTAAAAAATAATATTTTACCATTTTAATAGCACATGGACTGAGTTTTTATTTTTTGGTTTTTTTGGTGAATGACTGAGTTTTTATGTGATAGGAAGGAGAGTGGTATTGGAAATTAGACTAAAAATAGTAAAAAGATTAGACAGAGGCGAAAAGATAAATGGAAATTAGAGTAGAATAGTAACACAGACTGCTTCTGGTCCTCATTAAGTGACGGCCCAATTCAACAAAATGGACCCAATGTTTCTACATAGAATAATCCGATCCCCTTAGAAGTCCATACAAACTAGTGTGAGCATTTTTAGGTAGAGATTGGATATGAGTTATATTTGATATTTAATTTAAAAATTTTTAACTACAATTTTTTAGACTTAATATTTACCCAAATACTTGAATACTTTTACTTGGTATTTAACCTAATAGTTATCAGGTAACTTACAGATATATATTTGTGTACTTGATTTGAGGGAACAAAAGACCTTGTATTAATTATTATTATTGTATGTGTCATGTGTTTGGCTTAAAATTTTTTATTTATACGAGTTGTTATTATTGCATGTGATTTCTTAAGATTAGGAATTATTTCTATGCTCTATTATTTTTCTTTTAAAAAATTATGATTATTATATACATATAAAGTATATAAATATAAGTAAAATTTCAATTATATAACTACAATAACAAGTCAAAACAAGTCGATTAAACAAGTCAGATAAACAGTTCTAAACTCTTATATTTGTTACTTGAGTTGATACTTACGGATTATACAGTTTTCATACCCATTACTTATCTAATTTTTTTATGGTTCGGGTATAATACTTATGTAAACAAAGTAATATACTCACAAGAAATGGTACCTGTATCCAATGCTCACCTTTAATACAAACAAAGGCATTATTCAATCAAATAATATCTTATCTGATTTTTTTTTTTTTTAACAAAGGGAAATGTGGAGTAATTTTTCTGATTTTTTTAAGAAAGATTTTTCTATTTTGTGCCTTAAGGGTGCAATAAATGTACCTTTTCACAATTAAATTTAATTAAAAGTATAAATATTGATTTTGATTTAATCAATTAACTAATTAAAATCATTTAGGCATTAATAATGTTAAAATATATGTCAATTTTTATAATTTTTAATGTGAATTAATTACAAAAAGATGTATTTATTGCACTCTTAACCTATACCCTTAGACAAACCCTTTTAAGAAAGGGAAATGTGTAGTATGGGAAAAATTAAAGAAAAATTTTAAAAAATTAAGAGAAACAAATCCAAATTGATTTTAGTCTGGTTATCATTGACACTGAATTTTATTGATTAATTAAAGCCTACTTAAGGAACAAATCCAAATTAATTTCAATAAGGTGATCTTATTTTCTCCAGCAAATCAAAGTAGATGATATCATTGGAAATTGAATTACTCATATTAGCCATGAGTTTTATTCTTTGATATATCAAGATATGAAATAAAACATAATGATCTGATATTAAAGAACTTGATGCACATAATACTATGTCCAATTCAGTGAAAAAAGTCAATCATATAACGGTAATAATATAGTTATAATATCATGTATGATTGTAACTTACAAACCTACATCACATTACTATCTTATATAACATAAAATAAATATAACGTAACATTTAACAAGTGGATTCATAAAATATTACGTGTAAACTCATGAATAAAAGGAATTAATTATATAAGAACACATATGGTATAAATTTATAATATCACGTGACATTGTAAGCATATCATTCTGTTTTTTTTTTTTTATCTGGATTATACAATAAAATATAACTCTCTTTCATCCCTTAACACACCTCATATACGAGGGGTGTTCATACCTGGTAGCATTCTTAAGATCACTAAACTTTTGTGCAGCGGCTGCCAAAGTGGCAATACTTTTGCAGAAGGCAAACCTTACATATCTCTTCGGGTAGTTGCAACTTGCCTCAGATGATGGCTCCATAGAAAGCTTTGTATGAAAAAACCCACATCCTGGTACAGCAACCACCCCTGCCTCTTTTATTAATTCCTTGACATATTCCACCTGGAAAGAACAAAATCACCATTTATACCACATAAACAAACTATTAGCAGAACACTGGCATTATAAAAGTCAAATTAGTATATGAACAATTCTTAGAATGAATGGAGCTCCAAAGTTTAAAAAGAAAAAAAAATGTACATCTACCTACATCAGAAAGCAAGCAATTCTTAGGAAGCTCTGCAAATAAAAAGATGGAACCTTGGGGCTTAGAATGAATTTGAAAACCAACTGAGGTGAGCACCTTCACAAGGAAATCCCTTTTAAACTCATATTCCTGCTCATAAATAGAAAATAAATATGCAAAAAGGAAACGGTGAGAGCATTAGCATGATCTTGCATTTGGTTGAGTTATAACAATAAGTAAGCTATGGTCATCCACTCCACAGTGACTAGTAAAAGACTAAAACATGGCTCTTTCCAAGGAACCTACTTTTTTCAGTCCTTCAAAATATTCAGGGGGGCTTGTCAAAGCAGTTAAGGCAGCTTCTTGGAAAGGTGCTGGAGCAGAATCTGTAATTTTGACATGAATGTTTCGGATTGCAGATGCAGCAAAAGCTGGAGCAATAGCCCATCCAATTCTCCAACCTAATACTCATAACAGTGAGTATCA